TAACTTTCACGGGAAAAAGGGTTGCGACTTTCAGTCCTGCGTGTGTTTTCCTGTGAGGAAGGAGAAGGAGACACTTTGTCCCATGCAGTGCGTTTAATTTTTCCCTCCCGGTTGTCTGGCACCAGATGGTTTACAGCCTGCCGTTAACAGCGAAAGTGCAGAACGTCGCCTTCCGCATGAGAGTATCTTAACTGCTGACGTGCCTCCCTTAAAAATTCACCCCACAATTGCTGCCAACTTGGGAATCTTTGCAATGGCAGAAACAATGTCTGAAGCTGCATTTGAGCACGTAAAAAAGCCATGTTTCATCTAAGAGAAGCTAAGAAAACTCCCAAAGCGTGAAGAGCATCTTCTAGGTTTTTTATTTATTTTTTTTTACTATCTTGCATGGGCATGTGCTTGTTATTGGCATAGTACAAATGAGAGAGATAAGAAAAGGAATGTTTACGCCCAGGCTCTCTTAACTTGCCTGAACTGCTCCAGGACGCTCAAGCATGTGTCTTCACTGTTCTCGGTTGAAACCCCCCCTTCCAACTACCGGCATTACAACAAGCGTAATACAAACAAAGAGGATAAACTTTTGTCCCACAGGTGGCTTCTGTATTGTCTCTCCCTGTACGTGAATTTCAGTATCACCTCTGTTCAAACTCGGTAGGCAACACTGGAAATTTGGCATGGCACAGGCACGGCCCCATTGTATGGCAGAAGACAGAATAACCACCAACAGCTCCTCAGCTGTGGAAACTACACATAAAGGTCGAGTTTTTTTCCTTTCTGTACAGTGGAGGGAACAATTCCCCACTTCTAGCACCATTCCAGAATAGGCTTTGGCTAATATGGGGCCTGAATTTAGCAATCTGCCCTCTCAGCAATGCCTTTCACTTCTTATGTTTTAAAGTGAAATACTTTGTGCAGATAAAGAATGGGGAAAATTAGAGGGATTTGGGGGTGGGGCATGATTAGAAAGATAATAATTGAACTTTGACCTGCTTGAAAAGATAGCTAAAAAAGCTGACCTGAAATCCCTTGTGGTTTCGGACATGTCATGGTCACCAGCTACAGAGCTGAACCTAACACTCCCAGAGCACCTTTTCCATCAGTGTGCGGTGTGCAAACCACCTCCTAGTCTAATTTTGACCTTGACTATTCAAGGATTGTTTATGGTGGGTATTACTAGGACATTCAGGCACCTCTTGTGGCTTCCCACTGTAAATACCAAGAGAACAAACTCTCTGATTTATTCATCAATTCATTAGATACAATATATTTACGGCTACCACAGGCCCACAGTCATTTGTTTCAACAAAGTGCCAGGCTGCAGTGAAAAAACAAACTGATGCTGTGTATCAGTCCTCCTTCATAAGGAGGATCCTCTTTCTAAGCAAAGTCAGTAACAATTATTTAATGGAATGGCTAACGTTTCCGCTGAAATTTGAATTTGTAAATAGCTGGACCATTTGTTGTCTCTTTCTTCACCTTTACTTTATGAGTTTTGTCCTGGAAAAAACAACAAGAAAAAAAATGTTTGCCAGTATGTAAGAAGGAAAAAAAAAAAAACAAACCAACCCCAACCCACCTCATATAAAGCCCCTGTCTGAGACTGACAAGGCATTAGTGAAAAATGGTCATTTTCCACTGTTTAGGTGGGAATTATATTTCTGTCTGCTTTTTCTGCCTTTAGGTTGTCAGGCACAATCTGTTTTGTTCACAAAACAGTGAATGGTGAGTCCCATTAAGACAAGCCATTTTTTTTGGTCACTGGGATTTTTAAGATCTTCTCATAACCTACAGAAATAGTTCCTTGCCTCTGCTACTTGAAAGTATTAATTTAGTACTTGAGAAATGGCAACAGTCTTTCTAAAAAGACTTGTGAGCACCATTTCAAAGTTGAGTCTTTGTCCTTGCTGACATGGTAAGACTGGAGTAGCAGATAAAATTTACTAGACATGGCACAAATGGAATGCTTCATCTCCTTGCTTTTTCCATGCTAAAAGAGGATTACTTATCTTTAGGAGTTATCTGGAAGTGTCAGTATACAAATCAGAGTGAAGAAACAGATACATATGAAACTAAACCTAATGACCATAACAAAACAGATTCAAAGAACCAGAACTGAATCCCTCACCAAAAGATCTTTACGTGTCTGGATTTTCTGTGCAATAACGAACATGGCCTTTTCTCTTTCAATGCGCTGCTTCAGGAGGTCATACTGATTCTTCCTTTGCTGGGCTAATTTCTAGAGGAAAAAAAAAAAAAGCCATTTTATAAGAGAGAGGAACAAGACACTATGGTCTATAACTGACCTATTCTGAGACACTTGGACCTCACATACATTTTTTTAGATTTTTAAATCATATTAAAGAATACTGCTTCAATTCTGTGGCTGAATTCCAGAGAATCATTTTACCATCTTGATTTTCATCCTAGAGGTTTTCTAGTTAGGATTTAATTCTTTGTTCTTGTTTTAATCTCCTAAATCCAAACATAAAAAACTAAAACTCTTCTAACCTAGTTTAGATGCTGTGTAACCTTGTTCAGAAAGTGTCTGGAATTTCATTTTTCTAAATCCTCTGAATTTCAATGTTGAGTGCAAGAGACCATTTAACTCCCTAACGAAAACCCAGTTTATCCGGGGGGTGGGAGGAGCGAAGAAAGACCAGAGACCAGTTCCTGAAGTGCTTAGAAATTGTGCAGAGGTCTCAAAATGCAACTTGTTTGGTCACGTTTACCTACTAAGAATGGCTGGCTTTCCCAGCACAAAAATTGTATTACTGCAGGTGTGATTTAAGTAATTAAATTAAGGAGAACAGATCCCAACATGCTTAAAATATGACTCAGATATTTAGGGGAGAAAACTTGTCAGTCTATAACTTGTCCAACTGCTTTACTGACAAGCCAAACTAAGAAAGCTGGCAAGAAGAAAGGGACCACAGGGTGTTTGTTATCTGACATCTGATTCAGAAAAAAACAGGTTACAAATTTACCAATTGGCAATTTTAGACCTTTTATTTTTACCTTACACATACCAACCCAAGCTTATAGGACTGCCTAATATATCTGAACTAATTAAATGGTATTTACAGTGTTAAAGCTGAGTGTAGCTACTTCTAGGACAGAAGTGCTGTGATATTAAAACATCAGAATCAAAGTTGATGGTGTAAACAATTCATCCTGAAGAATCATGAAACACTTTGAATTAGGAAAGCCAAGAAGTGAGACTATAGCTTAAATGTCTTTAAGAAGAGATGGGGGAGACAAATCCTGAATCCCAAGCCACTTCAGGCTTGGAACCTAACTGAAAAATACCGTAAGATCAGAAACCCAACAACAGATACATCTATGTTAGAATAAGCTGCTTCGTATCCCTATTCAGGGGTGCAAGGCTTTTGGGGGAGGTGTGAGGGGAGACTTAACAGTGGATGCTGCAAAAATCAGACTTAAAACTGCAGCAATCTAATGAAAAGATATTCACATAGGTGTATGTCATGTAACGGAGAAGAAGTATATCAATTTTACCAAGGAAACTGCCTAATCAGATCTATACCATTCCGTTCTGGCCCATACATCACAACTCTTGATTTATAAGAGGACAAGGATACAACTGAACAAGTTCTCCATGTCAATCCAGTAGAAAATGTGACGGTAGGCTCCAGGCACTTGATGATTAAGTGACATCCACTACAGCTCTGTGTCACCAATAAAAGTTTTAAGACAATAGAACAACTTTGTTCTCCTCCACAACGGTCCAATGAATCCTCTTTAGTGCTTATGATATAAAAGATGTAAAACATTAAGAAAATGGTAATACAAATAGTGGCAGTACCTTTAAGTGGGCAGGATCAGTAGCTCCTTTCAGTGTCTCTTTCTGCAATGTTGCAATGGTCGGTCGGTTGTACACTCTGTCTACAAGCTCTGGAACAGTATCCAGATGAGTTGCAATATCAAACTCCTGAACTATAAATAAGAAGAAATTTAGGAATAAACTCACATGGACTTCTTTGACTAATGCTCAGAAAACCTTCCAAACATGTAGCTTAAGTACAGCCAGTGATGGAAGCCCCAGCAACATAGCTCCTGCAGAGTTGAGGTCTTATCTAGTAATCAAAAGAGATTTCTAAAGCACCTGTATTATTATTCCTGGGGGGGGAAAAAAAAAAGTATCTTTTTTTATGATAAGAGCATAAAGAAAGTACTACACTGTTTTAAAGAGCCTACAAGAGAACATCACAGAACAAGTTTTCTCACCGAACCTCTTTAAATCTTACCTTCTTTTTTGGTATCAAAAAAGAACACGTGCCTGTTGGGATTCTTCCCCTCAGCATCCAGCAGATGGAGCTCCGACTTCAGCCGCTCGATTTTCTGCGCGAAAGAAAAGTTAAATCTGTTCTGCCGAACATCCGTAACAAGGTGGATGCTGTCTCCCTGAAGTAAATTTCTGTTTGTTTCTCAAGCACACAAGCATCTGAACTCCTCCTTTCTTTTTAATCTTTGAAAATACATCTAGTCTATATTTATGTCATGTCTTCATAACCTTTTCAAGTAGAGGTTAACAGTAATTTCTCCAAATAGGTACAAATCAATTTTCCAAACAGTAAGTTATCTGTACAACAGACAGAGTAGGAATGATTACCATGAAATCACTAGCAAAAGTATGAAGGAAAATGTTCTTTATTTTTTTTCCCCTACAGTGAGGGTGTGTGGGTCATATTTCTGTTGATTGCCTGCCTACCATACTGAAACAACCCATTTCAGTAACAACAATCTTCAATTCTTTATAAATATGAGAAGCAAGAGTATATTTTTAATGTCTGAAATTTACATAAGAAATTGCCACGTTTTATAATAATGCATAGTATAGTTTTATTATTCAGTATACTTTTATGTTCTATATACAGAGCACCACTGACATTTCCATCTATCATTTCCAGCATTACACAAAGTGGATTTAACTAAACATAAACACAATAACCAAGAACAAGAAAACCGCAATAAAAAGAACAATTCTAAGCAAACTGGAAAACACTAAAAAAGTGAAATATTACCTTGGCTTCTGCCACTCTTTTCATTTCCACATATTTAATATCCTGTGTCCTCATCAATTTCACCTGTTCGGGGGTCACTTCATCCTTTGGCTGCTTTATTACATGAACTCCATCCTAAAGCCAGACGGAACATAGCACTTACAGACAGATATCATTTCAGCTATAGCGTACTATGGATCCAAACAACAAAAGCAAAAGAACCTTTTTGTCCTTTGCCTCTCATTTTCTTATTACATGAACTCCATCCTAAAGCCAGACGGAACATAGCACTTACAGACAGATATCATTTCAGCTATAGCGTACTATGGATCCAAACAACAAAAGCAAAAGAACAAGAACCTTTTTGTCCTTTGCCCCTCATTTTCTTCAAAGCTCTCCATAGGCACCACACCAAGTCTGCTAATTTATTTACTAATTCATAAATTTAAAACAAAACAAGGTAGAAAAAAATGTTACTTGGAGCAACAGAGTGTAACCCTGCTTGAATGCAATTTAGTTTCTTACCTGGAGCTCTGCACGTATCATTTTAAAGTAGAACTCATCAGGATTCTTGTCCAGAGCTTTCTTTTGAAGTGCTCTGAGGGCATTCTGTTTCCTGTGATAGTCACTGGAAAAAAACAAAACAAAACAAAACAATCAGAAGTTGTTCGGCAGTTTCTCCCTGTCCACACTCCCTGATGAGATGCTGAGTCCCTCAAAGTGATGCTCAGAGCTTTGATATGGCAGACGAGGCTCCACATATAGAGCTGGACACCAACAAATGACTTTAGCTTTACAGTTTATTCCTTAACAAAGCGGGAAATTAATAGTGTCCAACACTAACTGTTAGAGGAGCAATGGAAAGACATGAATCCATTCTGCAAAGCTTACTGAGCTGCTTACTGAGCTGATCAGCTTACTGAGCTGATCTTTTACAGAATCAGCCGTTAAAGCCACATTCCCTTTCCCTCTGATGTTTAACTGTCCATGCATGTTGCACTTGTTTGTACGAAAGTGCCTGCTAGATGGATTGAGGTACACCAGTTCTTGCGCAACCAACAACACTGGTTCTTCACGTGGTCTCTGCAACCTGTGACACTGCGGTGCAGAAACCGCTC